TTAATGACGATCGAATTTAGATAGAGACAAATATTTGAAATTTTGATGATTCATAAACCTTCCCTGGAGTCCCTAGATGTCCCACAAAAAATTTGGGCCCGATCGGTTCAGCCGTTTTGACGTTTATTGGATACAAACAAACAGACAGACAGACAGACAGACAGACAGACAGACAGACAAGCCAAATTTATACATAGATTAGAACAACAAAAGCAAACAAAAATAAAACCGGAAAAAAAGACTTTTCATCTGATGTTAAAAATAATTTTTTATTGAAAGCAAAAAGAAAGCTTAAAGCGGTTCTTCCGTGTGTTTCCCTGGAAATAAGTGTTGGATGAAATTACAAAAATATATTTCTATGAAGATCGATAGAAAGGTGTAAAAAATCCTCCCATGTCCATCGTTCGGTTGCTTTCTGTTGGCTTTAGGTTTTTGAGAAAATGAGAAAAGTGTCAAATTAACCCATAAAAAGTATTCAAAACCTCAATATCTCTGTTCTATAGTTCAAGAAGAAGATCTTTGAGTTGATCTGCAGGGAGTCCCTGGATCTAGCAATCAAGGTTTGGAAGCAGGAGATTAAACAATCAAATTTTTTTAATCTTTCATTGTTTCCGCTTAAAAAAGAAAGGATTTAAGAATTCTATTTTATAAGTTGGTTTATTCCATAGAATAGTGTGGATTTAAGAAATGATGAAAACGCTACATTTATAAGGTTAAAATGAGAAGATTAAAGGGGAAAGAGAAAAAAGTTTAATCGTCAATGTAATCGCTAATCATAAATGTTAAAGGAAGGGGAAGTGATCAGTGCTCGAGTTCGAAAGTCTATTTCAAATTTTGACTTTGAAGGTAAATCTTAAAAAATTACGTAACAATCTTTCTATCGTTGATTTTCAGAAAATAAATTTTCTCCGATTTTTTAGGAGTGATGATGCTTTTTCATGTATTAAGACATATGAATGCTCTTAAACCACAGTTCGATAAAACCCTGGAGGTGAGGCTGAGATACATAAATTTTGCCTTAAAAAAATGACAATTTTCGAATTTTTTAGAAATCCGACAACCGACAGTGTAAACAGAAAAGTTCGCAACATTTTCAGTTTTCTGTTGTACGAAGAAAAGACTAAAAGCAACATTTAAAAGCTAATATTGTTATTAGAAAAAGAAAAGCCTAGTTAAAAATTTATTTTCTTTTCTTTATCCATACAGGTTCACAAAGCAAAATTTAATTGATTTATAATGGCAGCTGATGTTTACTGTTTAGCCGTCTTCAAAATCTTGAATCTAGTTTTTAATGAAAACCTACATATTTTTAATTTGAGAAATGTTGGTTTGATTATACAATGGAATCTGAAGACGACCATTAGAGCAATATATAAGTGTATATGATGTGTAATAGTTTAACTAGACGCTTATTAAAAGTTTAGTGACATATGTCTGTTAACACTGTATAATTGCGGTGTCTCACGCTCATTGGGCTTTTTAAAATTATAACTTGTCTAAAAGTCGTCTTCCCATGTTAGAATTTTCTGGTTTTCACTGTATTTAATGTATTTATTGTTATAATACTGTTAACTGTGCAGGGAAGTGATCCTGGTGTGCGGAATAAGTATAATTCACTTCATTATGGTTTACATACTGCGGGTTCTATGGCACTTGGTAAATTTATAGTTTTTATAATTTACTTCTTTAATAATCATTAGTATTATTTCTTATGGTATTTCGTCTGGTCTGGTATGTTCTGGTCTGGTCTGATCTGATCTGATCTGATCTCAACTATCACAAAACTGAATTAGTCTTATCTCGCTTTATTTCATTTGATAATTAATTATTTTATTTCTTGTCATATAATCTTTTTGTTTCACATTATCTTATTATGGTCTAAACTTATCTTATTTCGTCTAATGTTTTATCCCATCTTGGCTCATCTTCAGTCGTCTTATCTCGTTACTTACTTATTTATTCGTATCTCTTCTTATCTATCTATATCTATAAATTAAAAGTAGTAATCTCTGTTTGTCTGTTTGGATGTCCAAGCATAACTCTGTCATGAACCTCCTTGACCGATTTGTTTCACATTTTGTTGGGGAACTCGGTATAAACTCGGGAATGATTTGCTTTGGTTAACAAATCCTAAGTTGAATGGGATAACTTTTCTGGGAAAGTTTTAATTGCCAGGCGAAGCTGGGTTCCCTATCTACAGGGTGGCCCATAAAACAGCAATTAGAGTTGTTAAGCCCCAATAATCTTTTTAAATGACTAGTATTTAGTTTTTTAAATTTGGTAGGGGTCGTTTAAGTAGGTTCTTGTAGTTTGATTCTCTTATATTTAAAAGATTATTGGCTTAAAAACGCGAATCCCTGTTTTTTGGGCCACCCTGTAGTCTTAAATAATACTGTTAAGATGGGTTTGTTGAGGGTATCCGTACAGATGGAACAACTAGGGAACGAATGCCTAAGGACGGAACAGTGTTCCAACTTACAGCAAATATCATGAGGTAATTGATTTCCAACCATTTCAAGGTTTAAATTTTTGAAACATCTATAATCTATATAATAAAGCGCTTTGCTCGCGTGCATATATATATTTATATATATATATATATATATATATATATATGTTTGTGTGTAATATAACTGTAATCAACCAGAGCAGGCTCAATTTTTTATTTTCTATTCATATAATACATCATGACATTTGTACATATGTTCTCTATAGCCTGCCAAACGGCAGGACCGAATGGGTTGACATTTTTTGAGGAGACCCATGGGTGCCCTGGGGATAACATCGAACATTTTTTTTTATTAGATTAAAAATTTCCACGGGCAACGCCGGGTACTTCAGCCAGTATTTATTAAAACAAAATGTTAAGAATTACATCCTCTTCCGTCAATAAATATTATAGCAAGCGTGGGTAAACTTGGGAGTAACTATGACGGAATAACAACATAAACCTGGTCAACGCCGGGTACTCCATCTATTATTTTATATAATTTAAACAAGACTTCTGGAGGAAAATGGTCCATTTTAATTTTGTTTTTCGAATTTGGGATAATTAACAGCACACGTAAATTTTTACTTAACACCACACTTGTAAGTTTTATAATGTTGACAGTTGAGTGTTATGTCTTATCAATTAACGTAAAGAAAGGCTAGGATGACAGGATTTTAGTGCATGTTGTTTAACATCGACGTCAAAACTACGTTTCTGAATCACTATTAGCGCAATTTTTTCGTCGTCCATAATTACGGATCAATTTAAGATTCTAAATTCATAACTATCGCTTAAAACTCCGACCATGGAAAAACTAGCTTCTCTCTCTTATAGTTGTGACTCTGACTCAGCCAGATTCGATGTTGGATAAATATTTTTTATGTTAGGTATGTTGAGAATTTAATCGATTACATGGATACAATAGCAGATATATTGGGACAGGACGCTTCATATAACCAGGTGATACAATAGCAGATATATTGGGACAGGACGCTTCATAACCAAGTGATACAATAGCAGATATAGCAACTAATTCCGAAGCCTAATTTAAAGAATTTGAGCCGCGTTTCAAATTGTTTCAAATTTGAAACGCGACTCAATCATAGTTGGTTCCACTTAAAAATTGTAATCAGTTTTTCGAGATCTGAGCCGGCGCTCAATTGGAACCGGTTTTTGACGGTTCAGCTACGCGGTTTAAATTCTGTAAATTCGGCCTCCAATAAGTTAGTTCTTATATACAATTTGTTCAGGCAATAATCAAGCTACCTCGCCGTGTTATTCCTGCAGACCGTCCTCAGGCTCTTCTAGGACTCTATATCAAGAAGGTGAACGAATAATGAATATAGCTGGTAGTCTTCTGTTTAAGTGGTCGGCGTTAATATTAATACAATGAAGACGACTTCTTATTACTGCTTTTATCCCAGACAAGCGTTTTTAAAATTGCAAGTTACCTTCCGTACAGTCGTCTCTGAAATCTTATTCTTTGTGTTTGTGGGTAACCCTGTATATTTGTAGGTTCTAGTTGAGCTGAATCTGATGAATCGTATGTGTAGGTTTTAGTTCAACTGAATCTAATGAATTATATTTGTAGGTTCTAGTTCAACTGAATCTAACTCTAGTAAACAAATCTGAAACCTATACAGATCCGTTCCTTAAAGCTGTTTTCAGGTCAGTTTTTCCCACATACATGTTTTAAAGATTACTTTGAAATAACTTTAAGTAAGGAATTCAAAGTTTGATCCGTTTTGGGTGGACTGCCTTTGTTAAATACTTAAAGGGAGTGACCGGCTATGTAAGTTAGTTGAACTGAGTATGCAGTGTTGTGGAAAACTTCTTTTGGATTCATTTGAGACATATTAAACTTTTTAAAGATCTGTAAATCCTGAGTTTGAGCGCAAGTTAGACGTTCAAAACTCCTACTTTGGGGGTGGATACGTTTTCAGAATTATTTTTTTTTTTAATTATTAAATAACGACAACGAAAAATAAAGTAAAAATTATACAGTAATCTAATTAAATGGTTAGGAAAATATTTCTCAAAAAACATTTGCCAATAAATCAATGCTAAAATCGATTATTTCGTTTTCATTATTATATTGAATTTCTTATTTTCTTTGAATTTATTCGCAGATTTCTTCAAATTCTTCAAATGTCGTCTTTTCAATAATAATTCTAGAAATTCTGCGAAAATCTTTGCGAATAATGAGAAAAAAGAAACTAATATTTGAACACGATTACTTATTTTCGATGATAAGATTAATTTTTATTAATTGTAGAACTCTTTTTACATTTTATGTCGTCGTTATTTAATAATTTTAAAAAAAAATTCTGAAAACTTATCCACCCCCAAAGTAGGAGTTTTGAACGTCGAATTTGCGCTCAAACTCAGGATTTACAAATCTTTAAAAAGTTTAATATGTCTCAAATGAATCCGAAAGAAGTTTTCCAGAACACTGCATACTCAGTTCAACTGCCTTACATAGCCGGTCACTCCCTTTAATTAAATACATTTCGATGACAAAACAGATAAAATAAACTTAATATTTTTTGTTAAATGGTTCACTTTATTTGATTTCAGATAATATTTTTAAATGGTTTTCTTAAGTCAATGATCTGATCGTCAATGATCGTTATTCTCGACAATATTGATGTTATTTCCATATTTCATATCTTTTTCTTACTAACAGCAATGTTTATTTTACATATTCTAGGTTAAATAATAACGTTCATATACTCAGAACTATCATGGGTTCAGGTAAATATTGTTTATCAATGCATTGATGGACTGATAATAATGGACGTTTTAATCAGACGTACTTACCAACCAATTGGGTGAAAAGTCTGGCTCACGGACTTTTTTTTTAACTGATTTGTTGATCGACGGACAGATTTTCCAGCTGACTGATTGTGCAAAAGACGAAATGTCTAATAGACTTATGGGATCGGCCTTTCTCTTGAAATTACGCTTACAGTCTCTTAAATCAATATTTTTTCTTTAAAATCCTTTATTTTCTTACATATTATTTGGGGAGAGGGGGGGGGGTCTGATTTAAGAGATTAGGGGATAGGGATGGTTTATCAGGATAACTTGCTTCAGCCTATCTACTGCCTGGTTTAGGATTGCTTGAGGTGGTATCTCTATCTGCTCCGGAGTGTAGAGAGAACTATGAAGAGATGATTACTGAACAGAAAAGGGTTTACTCACAGTGTTGGGAAACTATCCTAGAGGAACATTTTCATTTCGTTTCAATGAACTTGTTTTTAAATGGGTTTTAATACTTCACATAAAGATATAAACCGTCTACCTGCAATTTTTTTGAACACTGTGGCGGCTTGTGAGGCAGGAAATTTATATACCTTCTTTGGAAAAGTGCAGGGAGGTTCCATCTGCAAATATTTTGGATTTTTATTTTCATTTTTGAAATGGTTTGTAAAAAACTTGATCCGTCAACTTGAAACATCTATAATCTATATAATAAAGC